TGGGACGAAGAATGTACAAAAGCATTTGAACAACTCAAAGAAGAAATGAAAAGAGAATTGGCTCTATCATTTCCAGACCCGAATCAACTATTCTTTATAGAATGCGATGCTTCGCAAGAAGCTATAGCCGCAATTCTATATCAAGAAGATTCTGATTGGCAACATTATAAAAAGTCGAAACAGGAACTATTCAAAGAAGAATTTAGAGATTATTCCAAACCAATCAAGTCAGGAAGATGAATAATCGAAATAGGCTCAGTAGGATTAAAGAATCCCAAAGCTGTTGGCCTGCTACACAAAGAGAACTATATGCAATGTATGTATTTTTGAACAAATGGAGACATTACATTGGAACACAACAAATACATATTTATATGGATTCAACTGGAATATCATCTATGAAATCAATGAAAAGCTGTACCAATCGGACAATGATGAATTGGATTTTACAGTTACAAGAATATAATTATATTATACATAGAATAGTAGGAGCAGAGAATCATGCTGCTGACTATCTATCCAGAGGAACAACTGATGAATTACAAAAATTAGAACAAGAAAAAGAAATACTTAAAGAATTAAATAAAGAAAAGAAAAATAATAAAGGCGCTAAAGAAACTTTAAAAGAAAAGGTTCTTAAGCAACAACTAGAAAATGATCCAGCTAAAGCTATATGAGAAAGGTGGAAAAGCAAAGTATCAATACAGAAGAAACTATTGAAGAAAAAACAATAGTTACCAATCACTATTGTAACCCGAAAAATTGGAATCATTACCAAAATGATCAGATGATAAAATACTACTATCGCTGCAACAACAATCGTCAGGAGGATTACCACAAACATAACATGAATAAACTAAAAACTGATTATAATCATCTTGAAAAAATTCACAAGAGAATTCTTCAGAAATATCAATTTCAGAATCGGAATAACCAAATTCCATTAAAGGCTTACGATCTAGAAAGGAAGCTGAAAACAATATAAGGAATTAGTATAATTCGGTCAACATACACCGCCGACCAGAGCTGTGAGTTGGACACAGTTAGTCTTTCTAACTACTCTGGCCCGACAGTGTATGATAATCCAATAAATAACTAATTCTTACCCCTAACGGATTCCATTTGAATATTCGGTTTATTATAGCAAACATCTGGAATGCTTGAAAAGAAATTACCATCATTACTGCAAACTGAACTTGAAAAAGAACCATTAAATTCAGATGAAAATGGTAAATCCATCGAAACCATTGGGTAGCGAATATTAAGAAATTCTTGATACAATGAACCAATTCCCTCAAATCCCTCAATAGACCAAAGATACAATACAAAAGACTCAAGTATTTCATAACGAGACTCTGAGGACTCCAGAAAAGATCGATAAAAATCCAACTGCTTGTCAAGATATTGATAATCATTATCAAAGGATGACAGATTCCTATAACTGCTGGACGAAGACATAATAGATTACAAATCGGTGTATAAACTCGTAATACAACAAAACTATAAGAAAAGCCTAAAAAAGTAATGATCAATAACACAAACAGAAGGGATGGAAAAGCTTGCTTAATAATAAAAAGACAAATTAAGTGAAGATTTAAGAGAACTCTAAAAATAGACATTTAAAAGTTATAAAAGGATAAGAAATTGAAGAAAAGGAGTGAAGGAAAAACACTTCAATTTATAATAAACAACATTATAACATACTTTATCTTATCGCAACTCAGCAAAGTTTACTTCCCACGAGAAATTACTGAATTAGGTTTATCAAAAACCATACAAATAGAATATTATCATACAAGAGTAATACCATCAGAACTTGTGAATGAAATCTTTGATCAAGAACATCTAGATTTCATTAATGAATACGATGACTGATAACTGCCGAGAAAACACCAAGAAAATTTCCACACTTATTGAAATATGGAACATCTTGAACAACGAAGATGAATGTATCAAATATTTACAAGATAAAGGATGTATCTATAAAAGTCTAAATTGCCCA